TATAAAATGTATGAAAATACCTTCATAAAGAAATATTTTCTAATATAAAGAAAATATTTGTATTGGCAGAATAAATATAATTTATTGTAGCAGAAATCTTAAACAGTCTTATTAATAAATCAAACCTGGGCCAAGTATTGGGGTGAATGCTAGAAGAGCAGAGAAACAGAACAAGCCACAGCTTCCTCACCTCTCCAATTCCTTAGCTGATCCTGTTTCCTCAGACTAGCAGCCTCTGAGTTCTCATCCAAATGGATCTCAGCTGAACTGCTGCTAAAAGCCGAAAAGCTTAACCAGGCTCTAGTTCCTGGTTCTCACACCTTAAATACCTTCCTGCTTTCTGCCATCACTTCCTGGGATTAAAGGTGTGTGTCACCATGCCTGGTTGTTTCCAGTGTATCCTTGAACTCACAGAGATCCAGATGGATGTCTGCCTCTGGAATGCTGGGATTAAAGGCATGAGTGCCACCATTTTCTAGCTTCTGTATTGAGTGTCTATTCTGTTCTCTGATGCCAGATAAGTTTATTAAGGTACACAATATTTTGGGGAACACAATACCACCAAAATTTATCACAAAAAATATGATATATTTGAGAGCATTTTTTAAATTAAAAAAAGAAAAGTAAATTTCTAATGTTTTAAATTACTAAGATCATTTAAATATATACAGTTTTATCTCCTCTTATTTATTCCTTATATTGTTAGGGTTTTTTTTTTTATTTTGTTTCAAATTATTTAATTTAATTCATTGATTTCTTTTTTTGTTTGCTTCTTTTTTTGTTTTTTTCAAGACAGGGTTTCTCTGTGTAATCTGGCTTTCCTAGAACTCACTTTGTAGACCAAGCTAGCCTCGAACTTAGAGATCCACCTGCCTCTGCCACCCAAGTTTTGGGATTAAAGGCATGCATCACCATTGCCCAGCCAGTTCATTGATTTTTTTACATCTCATTTGAATACAAATTACTTAGATTATCATAGCTATCGTCTTGAGACAGATACTTTATTAATGTTATATTATGCTGTTTTCTAGCTCTTCATTTCATAATGATGGAAAAATTAAGTCAACATGTTCATGATACTAGCTTTAAATTGCAAAAGAACACTGGCAGGCTGGGCCATGTCCCAGTCTCTCTTCAACCTGCTAGATTAAACTCATAGCCAATGAGAAGAGAGAGTGAGAAAGGAGAAAGAACTGGTGAGGCTTCCGTTCTCTGCACCCATGTTGTGACTGCCCAAATGATGATGACCAAGTAACAGTTACTTATGACATAAGCAGCACAACATGGACTCAAATTGGAATTGCTCGTGAGAATTCTGAAAATACAGGCACAAATAATCTATAGGAACTCATTCTACATACAGACTCTCCATGATTGTTAAATGCTAGACTACTGAAAAACTGATTAACAATGAAAAAAAAAAAGGAAAGGAAAAGAAAGAAATTGGAAAGATACTATAAAGGCAAATTAACAAAAAATGAACTTTCCTACTTATGAATATGATTGTATTGGACATAAGTGTTGTAAGTTTAGATAATTCAGCTGAAATGTCTAGAATTGCAAGGTCATTAATGTTAAAAGAAAATGTTTTATTTACATAATGGTTCATTTCACAGTATTTTAATTCAAAATCCAATTTTTTTTATCCAAACTGTAATTCCAATTTTTACTCAAAGACGATGGGATTATGTGTTTATTATCTGTGGCACATCTTTAAAATTTTGAGTATTTAGAAATTAGCTAAAGTTTATGCTAAGTGTGGCATCAGCACATACAATTATTTTCACCATTTCCAGGGACTATTCAGTGGGCTTCATATAATTAAAGAAATAATGTGATTTTTTTCCCTCAGAAAGCTAGCTTTTCAAAAATATTTGTTGGTCATTATTGATTCTGGAGGCTTTGAAGTTTTGCACTCCTTGCTTCTCAAGAAATTGTGAACAGTGTAAGCCTGCTTATGTATTTTTTTCACATCAACTTGAGTTTTCTGTTGGTGCCTTTCACATTCCACTTAATTGGCCAAGTCTTACTAAGTAATGGCAGTTAAATTACCTTACTTCATTCCTTAAGTATGTTCATAGTTTAACATCATTTTCTTCAAAGGAAAATTACAATTTGCCCTTTACATGGCCCATCCTATGAATTTAAGTGTCTGGAAGTCAGAATATGGAAATTAAGCTTTTGTATAAAAATTGGGTTTAACTGAAAACATATTTAGGTAGTAATGCAAAGCTTTGAAAATAATATTTTGCCTTTAATAATCTAATATTTGCCTGCTTGTATGTATTTCTGCAAGGCTTATTATTGACTATGTACATAATTCCGTGGTTTGAGCATGAATTGTGCCTCATTGGTGCCTGTATGGGAATATCTAGTTCACCGATGTTGGCATTGTTTGCTAAGGGTGTGGTAACTTCAGGAGATGGAGCTTCACTGGAGGAAGTTTGTGTCTGTGGGAGCCTTGAGCTTTTACACCACTTTCTTTTCACTGTTTTATTCCTCATTATGGATGCTTCCTTGTGCTCATTTTTATGAATGTACTGTACATCCTCAAAATAAAGCCAGAATAAACATTTCCTTTCTTAAGTTATTTGAGTCAAATATTTTCTCCTAGTAAAAAGACAAGTATTTAACACAGAAATGAAGCAATCACTGGGCTTAACCTGCCACGTGGTTCTTATGCCTTTGGAACTAAATGGATTGCAGAAGGAATATGAAAGATCTTGAAGCTATGGTTTATGAAAGGTTTAGTATACTGAAACACAGCATAATTAACCACAGCTTGGAAGATATGGATGCCAAGGTGAACAGTGAAGGCCCAGCTCAGAAAGTTCCAGATGTGAATAAGAACACTATCAGGAAAATAGCAGAAACCTAAGCACAAAGAATGAAAGCTGTGTAAGTTTATAAGCAAAGTTTTTGACAAAGAGAGAAAAGATGAGGAAGCACCTATAATTTTAGAGTGCTATAAAAAAGAAACCTCATTCTTTTCACTAGGATAATAAAGTTGTGTTGAAGACAAGCCCCAAACCATGGAAGGCTCCATTTTGGACAAATGCAAATTTCTTTAGGAGAGCCTAAACCGAGAACACTACTGAAAGCAATCAACTCTCAAAACCAAATGTGGAAATGTTTCCCCTAAGATATGCAAAGGAAGTTTGGCCTCTAGTTCAAAGGGCCAGCTTCTATCCCAAACAGAGTTCTCATGCTGTGGTCACCCTGTACTGGTTTTATAGACATAGTAAATGCAAAACTGAGGAAGTCATGGAATCTTTTACTGAGGTCCCAGAAAGCCTGAGAGGCCCTGTGTGTATAGCAGGATCAGTGTCCCGTGAAGGAGGCCTGCTGGGGGATGGTCTGTATTTCAAATTGCTCCAAATGGTTAATAAATAAAACACTGATTGGCCAGTGGCCAGGCAGGAAGTAGTTGGGACAAGGAGAGAGGAGAGTTCTGGGAAGCAGAAGGCTGAGGCAGAGAAACTGCCAGCTGCCACCATGACAAGCCACATGTGAAGACACCGGCAAGCCACAAGCCACGTGGCAAGGTATAGATTTATGGAAATGGATTAATTTAAGCTATAAGAACAGTTAGCAAAAAGCCTGCCATGGCCATACAGTTTGTAAGCAATATAAGTCTCTGTGTTTACTTGGTTGGGTCTGAGCGGCTGTGGGACTGGCGGGTGACAGAGATTTGTCCTAACTGTGGGCCAGGCAGGAAAACTCTAGCTACAGAGGCCTTCAGTAATCACTGGATGGAACTGGGTAGATGTAAAATAAGTCATAATGGAGACCCAGATATAGTCCAGAAACTATGGAATTGTCCACTGCTGAAAACTACAGATGGAATAAGGTCTTCCTATGACCATGTGTATTCTAGTTACCATGTCTAGAGGAGTAGTGTTTCCCAAGTCCATTGCCATCATGGTTCTTCTATCACAGACCTCACACTCCATATATGGAGGCAGAAGGACTTGAGGTTCCCTCTGACAGCTTTTGGTCTATATTTCCTTTCTAGGCCACCATTCCTTGCTTTTAGAATGGGGTTGTTTTCTCTTCACTGTTGTATACTGGAAGTATGTAACTCCTTTTCTTTTTCTTCCTTCCTTCCTTCCTTCCTTTCTTTCCTTTCTTCTTTCTTTTCTTTTCTTTTTTATTGAGTTGCATAGACAAGAGACTGCTTTGAGCTCAGAAGACAGTTTGGATTTCAAAACAGTGTTGAGACTCTTTTTAAGAGTAAGAGGATTTTAAATTTTAAAAAAATTTATGATTTGATATGATTATTCATAATTATAATTTGTTTTTATTAAATCCACTCCCTATTCCCTCCCCTCCACCACTCTACCACCCCTTCCCCCTCTCAGTTTCATGTAATGTTTTTAATATCCACTAAGAGCATTTAATGTTGCTGATATGCACACGAGTTTAGGACTAAGCATTGGAACATGGACAGCCTAGCAAAGGCCTCATCTGGAGTAAATGAATTCAACCTTCCAAAAAAACTAATAGCTTTTCAACTAGGCACTAGTTTTGCAGGTATAACAGATGTAAAATTGAGTGGGGCATTCTTCCTTATCCTATCCACACTAAAATTTTAACCGGCTTTATCTTGTGTGGTTCTTCTGTATCTATCATAGTTCAGTGAGTTTACATGTGCAATAGTCCTTCCATGCCCCGCCCCCAACTTGTGTTGTAGCAGTCCTTTACTACCTCTGGCTTGTAATAATATTTCTGCCTGTATGTATCACTGAAGTTGCACTATTTGCACTTTGCATCATGAGTTCGCCCTGAAAACTGTTAGGACCTAAGGATAAAATAGGATTTTAATATGAAATGTCCCTCATAAAATGAGTAGCCTCAGTTGGTGGCATTGTTGGAAAGCTTGTGAAAACTTTAAGAGGTTGAGCCTTGCATGAGAAAGAGGGTCACTAGGACAGGATTGAAAGTTTCAGAGCCTGTTTGTGTTTGTTGCCTGATCAGTCCTTTCTGCTTCCTGACTGTAGGTGAAATAAAATCCTGTTCTGCACCTTGCTTTCCTCACCATGCTTGACTCATACCCACCATAAGGTAAGTCAAGTAAGCTTTCCTTCTCATAAATAAATCTCTTTTCTCAGGAATTTTATCACAGTAACAGGGAAATATTTGATATGGACACTATTTGTATAGTTAGAAAACTGAACTCATTTATGAATTTTACCTTTAATAGTCACCCCCATCTGCATTATTCTAAAAGAAGGCAACTAAAGTCTTCCTAAGTCTTTTATAAATGTCTTTCTAAAATTTACTCTACCATTGCTGTCAGGATCTTGTGACTGACGCTGGGAATGACCACTTCCAAAGTCACTGACAGAATTAAGTCCACACATTAACATGTTTTCTGGATAATTTAAAAAAGTACCTAAGTCAGAATACTCGGAATTTATAAAAGATACTAAATCTTTGCATCTTACTTTCATATGTCTTTCAAATAACCTGAGATTTTGATCACAAATATAGTATGTGCTATGAACACTGAATATGCTTAATGAGTATCAGATAAAGCATATATATATATATATATATATATATACAAAATGTTGTAAACATGCATATATGCATATTGCTATATATCTCAATCTATCCTTGTATATGTGAATATATGTTTATTTATTATTTTTGGCATTCATTATCTTTATGTGTATATATAGATAGAAGAAGTAGAGTGTTCCTTCTTTTATTCACAAACTAATGAAATAAGTGCTTTTCTAAAATAAACGGAAGTCAGGAATCAAAGTTAGATTTAGTCTTTTTCATATTAGTGAGTTATTTATATAAAAGTAAGATGCTTAAACTTTAGAAGTTAATACTGATCAAAGAGAAAAAGTAAATAAATCTAGAATACATTCCCATATGTTCAGTAGTAAAGAAAGAAAAAAACAACTAAAATCTTTAAATATGCCCTTGGAAACCGGAAGAGAAGTGGTCCTAGATGCCCAAGATAGAATGTTTCAAATGGCAGCGGGATGATCTGAGAATGTGAAATGTGAAAGTGAGTGAGGAGTCTCATCCTTCACTCCATCAACACTCTGTGAGATGCTGAAAGAGAGACATATGGTAGCTCAAACTTAACTAGAAGTGGGAATTTCCTTACATTGATCATAATGATTTTATACTATTTTTTTTTTTACTTATGAGATGTGTGTTGAAGAAATAAAGAAAAATGTCATATTTATCATAAGCTGTTTAGAATGTTTTATTTTAAACAAAACATTATGCTCATGGCATATATACATGAACATGACTATCTACTTTCAATCATAATTTTGCAGACTAAATATTAGCTATCATTTAATTTTCCACAAATGGTAAATAGGTATCAAATACTTAATTAAATTTAGCACATGAATATATTTCATTTGCACACACATACACACACACACACACACATGAAAATACTTCTATCATGTAGTGATATCTTAAATAATAGACACCATTTAGTAATCTTTGTAATTACTAAGAGTTTAAACCACATTTAGTCAATTGTAAAGCACAGTTCATCACAAAGTTCACAAAAGAAGTAGAGGCAGAATGAGAAATATCCATTGGTACAGTTTAGTGCTAACATTCTCAATACTTCGGGTGAAGAATGTGATACCTATCTGTAGGTACTAAAAACCTGTACCATTAGTTGTTCTAAGTAACTGCTAGAGATGCCCACATATCATAAGTGGTTCTTCATAGAAGACAGTGGAAAATATTCCAATCTTTGTCATATTATTTTCATTAATATAAAAATGGGACATTTGAATTATATATATAATGTATGCACATTTTATATCCTTATATACTTATACATGTGAAAATATGCATGAAAATTGAATTTGTATTGATATTCTTTCACCGTTTCAAAGTTTGTTTGAAGCTATTCCTAATTAAGGAGACTAAACCAGCCTGAATAACCCCATCACTGTAATACTTTTCTTTTGAACTATAGAAAAGTTTTCATTACTGAAAAGGTCACAGTGATCAAACTGTATGTTATTTCAGAAGAAAATTTGTATTACAAATCTGTGTTTGGAGTTCAATTGATGGGTTCTTACATTTGAATTTATAGTGAACATCTTCTTTTGCATATGCAAGTACTCTGGGTTGGTGGAAGAAGCCTTCGAAGTATTAATTCACTCCTTTTTAATCACATTTTTTTTCACTTGAATTCCCCAAGTTCTAACATATAACTAAATTTTTTTAAGCTAGGTCTGAGTGACTCATTTCTTAAGAGGATAGTTTATATAGAACTTGCTCCAGTAAAGGGAGAGGTGGAATTCTTTGGATTTCATAAAGATAGAAGTAAGTTCTATGAACTGAAGAGGAAAAAAAACTATAAAAAGGGTCCAACTGTCCCGCAACATTTATTAGCACCATCTGGCATCATTTTGGGTTGCCTCCACCACCACTGTGTGTAAGATAGACTGGCTATTATCTCATCATCCACATGTAAAAATCATCTGAATTTCAGTATCTAAAATGTTAGTATTGTGGTGCTAGGAACATGATGTCCTGGAGACAAGAGAAAAAGAAAAGCTTGTTACTATGTAAAGAAACAAAACATCTTTGAGTTCTGCCCAAGAATGCTATCTGCTGGGATTGGAGAGGCCACAAAAATTGCATCTGTTTGTAGAAAAGTATTGTTCAGTTCCTTTAAGTAGTAAACATCACCTGAACTAACAGGATGGACTATTTGTGATCTTTCTGCAAGCTTAATTAGGATTCCACTCAGTAACACTAAACATGTTGCTCAAATATTGTCCATGAATTTCTGATGCTTACCTCTTCATCTCACAGTTTGTTAACTTATTAAATGCATCATTACCCTGCTTCAGTGACCTTAGGACTTAGGGGAGTTTTAAAATGTATGGGAATACAGTGCTTCACTAGCAGGACCAAGTGTTGCTGGACTGTGTTCACTGAAGATGAAACCCCAATTTATGCAGTGATTGAGCACCCTTTACACACACACACACACACACACACACACACACACACACACACACACACTATCTTATATGAAAAAATCAAACTTTCATGTCATACTATATGTTGTACAAGTCTTCATGACAGCAGAGATATTTGAGAGGGATTAATATTATGCTGATAAAGAAACACTAATTTCTTTTATTGTTTATATTACATATGCACTATTTTCCTTTTAAGTCAATTATAATTTTCAGGAAAAGTCATTGTGATGTAATTACTTGCCTAAGATTGACAGCAGCAGCCAGTCTAGTGCAGATTTTTATGACATGTTAATTTCCCATCTGTCCAGGCTACTTCTTTTTGTGTGCCAATGTTTTAGTAGAAAGTTACAGAACTGAAAGTCTTCTCTTCTAATTGTAGGTTGGCAATTGTTAATGTAATATTCTTGCTAAGAAAAAAAGACATGCCTCTTCATTTTTAAAAAGGTCACTTTCAAGAAAAACTGATAGTTCATTATAAGCTGTCAATTGAAAATTATCTTCTACTAATATAAGCAGACTCTGTCCTTTACAGTCATTCCTAACCCTAAAATGTTGTCAGCCTTCACTTTCAGTAATTCTAACCTTCTCTGCGAGATTGCCTTCACCTTTTATCCATTTTTAAGATACTTTAATGGCTTCATTGAATATACCACACAAAGGACAACATACACGTAACTCTTATACTCTGACTATTGTATGGGAATCAATCTTTTTTTTTTTCTTTTCTCAGGAAAGAAAAAAAATCTCATGATATGCAAAGCAGACTTAAGAAACTTTAATGTGAAGGACGGGGAAATGAAAGTTACATCAGAAAGAATTATGGATCTTTATTTTTAGGTTTTGTTTCCTATTTGCTCAATGTGTTAAATTTTAACAGTATATTGATAATTTTATTCAGTATCTTTCTGAAGATGAGTGTCTTTATATACGTGTTCTTGCTTCACCTTACAAGAAACCTCAAATTCGTATTTATACAGGCAGCTCTGCAGTGAAACATTTTGAGGGGCATTATGCTCTATATCAGTATTGAGGCATGCCATTAAATTACTTTATAAATTAATTAAACACAATGTGGAAGGGAAATTGGTGGTGAGTTTGGTGAGTTTGAAGTGTGATGCATCAAATCAGATACTAAATAAGTCATTTTAGACACAGCATAGAAGATTACATGCTGTTATGGATGAGACAACGTTTTGGACATACTGTAGGAATGGATTGTGTCTTAGTATCTATTGCTGTGAAGAGACATTCTGATCACGACAACTCTTATAATAGAAAGTATTTAATTGGGGCTTGCTTACAGTTATAGAGGTTTAGTCCATATTCACCATGGTAGAAGCATGATGGCATGCAGGATAACACAGTGCTGGAAAAAGAACTGAGAGTTCTTCATCTTGATCTGACTGCAGGAGAAAGAGAGAAAGTCAGTGAGCCTGGCTTAGGCCCTTGAAACCTCAAAACCCACTTCCAGCAACACACTTCCTGAAATAAGGCCATACCCACTCCAGCAAGTTACACCTCCTAATACTTCTCAGTAGTGCCATACCCTGATTACTAAGCATTCAAATATGTGGGCCATTCTTATTCAAACCACCACAGACTTTAACTCATTTGCAGAATTAGAGAAGCCAAAGTGAACTGTGCTTCAAATGACCTGGACAATAGCTTCTCCCAATTAATATATATTTAAGGCAGTGGTTCTCAACCTGTGTGGGTCAAGACTCCTTGGGGTAAACGGATCTTTTCACAGGTGTCACCTAAGACCTTGGAAAATACTGATATTTACAGTATGGTTCATAAAAGTAGTAAAATTACAGTTATAAAGTAGCAACAAAAACAATGTTAAGGTTGGATATCACCACAACATTACAATCTGTATTAAAGGGTCGCAGTGTTAGGAAGGTTGGGAACCACTGGCATAAGGGCTCTCTGCATCACTTTTTGATTAACTCAGGGGAAAATATTTAATTTCACTCAACTGATTTTAAGATTATACGTATTTGTAAGGTAAATTTAGCAGTGCTGATGAGATAAACCCTCAGCTGATGTGACAATTAGAGACCAGTGTTTTCACATTACTGCTGATCTGTGCCAATTCGTCATTAATTTATTAGGATTCTTAGATGCTTACTGCTTCCTTAGACTAATATTTTTTGCATCATTAGCACTCAAATGATGATGCGGTTCCTTGGAATTACCTTTAAATGGTTAGTTTTTTGTTCCTAACTTCAGCACAACTTCTGACACTATCTTGAAATCGCCTTGAGCTATTATTTGACCATGTTCAACTCTTCTCCAGCTGTGTTTAATTTAGTTTGAACCAAAGGCAAAAGTTGTAAATTTGACTTTTAAAAGAAACCACAACCCTCCCTCACCCTCTCTCTCTCTCTCTCTCTCTCTCTCTCTCTCTCTCTCTCTCTCTCTCTCTCTCTCTCGTAGAATGGGGCATGCAGCAAAGAATTTCCAGGCGATTATTTCCATGTTTTAGCAAGACTTCAGGACCTATGTAGGCATTAAGGAACCCCTCAAAGAAGCTGAAAGTCATATTGAAGGTGGTATGATCTTTTATACATGATGTTTTCTCCAGGCATTTAGCTGCAGGAAGGGGAGGGGTGCTGGTAAGCAATGATGTTTTGGTGACCATGACTGCTGCTGTTTCACCAGAATATGCAAAGGGATGTATCTGCTCAGGGCATTTCATGGGATAGTTACACCAGATAGGCTCCCAAAATAAAGTTATCCTACCAAAAAGTGGTTTCGAAAATGGAGGGAGAAGTGACAGTAAGATTGAGGATGGTAAAAAAAAAAAGATTTAATGGAACAACTAGAAAACAGGTCTGTAGATAAAGCTGCAATAAAGAAAAGTAATAATCAGCCTACAGTGAAAACATTTCTCAGATGACCAAAAGTCCAGAGTTATCATATAGATGACATAATTTTGGATTTAACAAAGTGGAGATGCCATCTAAAGTAGTTTATATGTACATATATAATTACATATATACACATATTAATACATATAGAAGCAAGAGTATTTAGGAGAAAACTTTGGTACATTCAATTAAAATGTTACAGTGCATCAGCTGCAATGAAGGGTGTAAGTATGGTTTTCTAGATTAGAACTCTAATCTTCAAAAATAAAAATGAATTAAGTTTATAGGTACTCCAAGGTTAAATGGACTGATGTCACATTCCAAAATTTACTATTATGTCTGAGAGAGGTTTTAAAGGCTCTTTGGGAAATTGGATTTTTATGCTTTCCTTTCAATGTTCAAAACTAAAGCAAACATTTAATATATATATAACAAAATCAAATATTTTAGCTTGGATCGTAAATAAAACTAAGAGTTAGCAATATAACCAATTTTGAAATTCTTATATTTTACCATTTCTGATTACACAGCTACATAGTACAGGAATATTCAGTATTTTACTCAGATAACATACATTTCAACTAATTTCGTGGTTCCTTGGGTCTTTCTTTTTCCACATGTAAATCTCTAATCTTTTATAACATTACTTTGAAATAATTTTCTCTTTTTCTTTTGTTGACAACATTGATGGTGTCCGTTCTAATTATAATAAATGAGGTCAAATGCTGACTTTTATAGCTAATTCATATATGTATGTGTGAAATTTCAGTTTGTGTTAATGAGCAAATGTCTTCTGCAGCCACATGCCCTGTACTAAATCTTACTGCATGATAATAAAGCACAGTAAAACCAGAAGCTTTGTACTGTCACTTCTTGTTCTTTGTTATCATCTTCATGAGACTTTTAAACTTCATTCTAGTGCCAAAAACTTGCTTTAAAAATTAGGCTATAAATTTTATCTGTTGAGAAAAGATCTTCAAAATTATTTCAATTTCTACAAAAACAGAATCTTAATAGATGTGTGGTTCTCACACCCTTTAGATGCAGAATTATTAACTTTGATAAAGAAATGTTTGCTAAGCTAGTCCCATGAGTTGTACAACAGCACCAGGACCACACCTGCTTAGGCAAACTATTTTGAATTCCTTCAGTTTATTAGTAATGGCTTAGCCTAGTGTGTTGGGTAATGCCTGTAATTCCAGTGCTTGGGAGACAGAAGCAGAAACATTGCCCAGATTGTGCAGCCAGCCTCGGGCTGCATAGTGAGGCTTGTCTCAGAAATGTAAAATAATAATAATAACAATAACAATAATAATAATAATAATAATAATAATAATAGTAATAACAATTAAAAATAAGACTAATCCTTATAGCAGTCAAGTAACAGTTAATCAATTGTGATTTGTATCTGCTCACATGAAATACCTTATGTTGGTTTCATTTTAACAATACGATCTAGTTAAAAGTCTGTCATCCAGGGGCTGGAGAGATGGCTCAGAGGTTAAGAGCACTGGCTGTTCTTCCCGAGGTTCTGAGTTCAATTCCCAGCAACCACATGGTGGCTCACAACCATCTGTAATGAGATCTGGTACCCTCTTCTGGCCATGCAGACACAGCACTGTATACATAGTAAATAAATAAATCTTTAAAGAAAGGTTTGTCATTCAGCTATCACACGTATATAAATCAAGTAGCAAAATTAAGCTTATTTATTATAATTTTGTTCTTCCTAGGATAACTCTCTTTTGTATGTGATTAGATAACAACTACTTAACAACTAAAAAGACAAAAAGAATTAAAAGCTATTATCAGTAAACCTTGTTTTGCTTTTGGACACATAACATTCACATTCTCCAGGCTCCTAAAGTTCTCAGGCACAATATAGGCTTCCAAGAAATCATGTATACTCCAAAAACTTAGACATACAAGCTAATCCTGTTGTTTGCTAGAATAGATGGGCTTTTCTTTACTTATAGCAGATGTGATGACCAATGTCAGTGTTCATCTGGAATCAACCCATTCCTATTTTCCTTTTGAGTTCAATTATCTCTCTAAAAGATATCCTTTTCTGCTTATCTTAATAAGTAGAAATTTTAAATGATAATAACATTATAGAATTTTAAAATTAGAATTTTTATAAAGTGTATAAAAATTTATATAAAATTTTAAAATTATAAAATAAAAATTATAAAAAAATTCTATAAATGGTAAATCATCTAATGGTTTTAATACAGTCATCTTAGGACTGACTCTCTAGACAATGGCTAATCTAGATCACAATTCTAAACTGAGAGTGTTTTCCCTTGGAATTTGATGCTATTTGCAAACAGTCCAGAACTACAGAATTCTCTGGCAGAAGCGTGGTTTCTAATCAAGGTGTCCTTTAAATATCACCTCCTCAGGTAATTTGCCTTTCCATGCTTGCCAAAAAGAATACGGCTTGTTCTAAAAGTTCACTTCATTTTATGTAGACATACATTAAAAAATATGTAGTTTAGTAATCCAGAACATTAGATGACAGAGCATAACTCTCATAAGAAAAGACAGTCCATTTTTAGCATAGAGTTAACCACATAAATTCTAACTCCTGTGACTCAGGGCAATAAGAAGAAACAAGGAAAAGAGACAAGAGGTACAGGGAGAGAGGGAGCGAGAGAGAAGGAAGGAAAATAGAAGAGATGACAGCGGAGATAGGTAGGGAAGAGGAGAGGAAAACGGGCAGGGAAAGACGAAATTGGAAGCTAAAGGAAGAAGGAATTAAAGGATGGCTTCAACAGACCAGCTACAAGGACTGGACTTTGAGATCTGCTCAGAGATTTAGTAATTCTTCTATCTTTTTGTATGGATTTCACAGGTCTGAGAATCAGGGCCACTGGAGCTGAACAGCTACTCCTCGAAATAGCTCAAGAATATTTTGTATTTCCTTATTTCACTTCCAAAGCTTGCCTAAATAGTCCACAACTTGAGAATCCAGCAGTTCTGCACCCCCACATTTCCAGACTACGACTCTGAGTCATTGTGGAGGAAACATGGAGATCAATGTAGCTTGCAGTCCCAATTCTTGATTCTATTTTTATTCAGATTGCTATAATCTGGTATCTTTTTTTTTTTACCTTAAGTCTACTTTAGATCAATTTCAATCATATGAGTTTCAAGAACTAGATATTAGATTTAAACAAAGAAAAGCATTTAAGTTATTATTTAGCATTTTGGTGATTCTTTGTTATATGTCAATAAACTTT